ACTGTATATAATTGTACCTGATTGTGTGGGACGTATGTACCTGATTATGTGGGATGTATGTACCTGGTTGTGTGGGATGTATGTACCTGATTGTGTGGGACGTATGTACCTGATTGTGTGGGACGTATGTACCTTATTGTGTAAGACGTATGTACCTGATTGTGTAAGACGTATGTACATGATTGTGTGGGACGTATGTACCTTAGGTGTGGGGTATGTACCTGATTGTGTGGGGTATGTACCTCACGTTGTTTTCAGTACCTTGCAGCATTGTACTTAGTCTGATAAAATTCAGCAAAATTATAATCTTAAATAGCATCTTTAAACTAAAGAAAACCTTCAAGTAGAATCCAAAGATAAACCAACCAAACGCGCTCAATAGTTTTAGGCTTAAAGTGATTAAATGCATTGTATACTTAAAGGATTTGAGTCTTTGCCACAAACTTTGATTTTCTTATTCATATATCTTTGTAACGCAATGTCATCGACTTTAGATATTTCAAAGTATGAATTATGTTAGATCCAATAGTCTAAATTTGAAATGAAGAAAGTTAAGATTTTCAGGTTCCAAAGATATAGGGGTTAGTAAATTTGAGCCTTGGCAAAAACTCAATTATTGTCCTAGATTAGTCTTCAAGAGTATAAAGTACCCAAAGCTTCTTAAATCCTTTGAGCTAGAAGAAAATGTCAAACCCCGACTTTTTATTAGTTTTGCGGATTTAATCTATTCTTTCTGTCAATGACGTCAAACTAAACCAAGATGCATGTATGATTTAAATCTTCTATGTTTTAGATCATAACTCCTCTAATAGAAGAGCTATTGAAAACTGGATAAATTTAACTGTCTTAAACTTGTTCGTAAAATTAAGTCTAGATGAGCTACAAGGTCCCAAAGTGGTACCAGTAATGTCGCATAATTTTGACCATCTATACTTCTGTCTGGTTTCATGTCACATTGAACAATCCCTTATTCAACACCGAATACAATCGTAAACATTAATAAAATAGAAAATACTAAGCTGTTATCTACTTGAAAACTCACTTTTCCTAAGATCAGATTTATCTGTTCTAAATTAAACTTTTTAAAAAAAAAACTGTTTCTAAAAGCCACATTAATGGGCTGATTAAAGGGACTGTTCAGGTAAATGAAAAGGGGTGAATGGAGCCTATAATTTTAGGAGTTGATCGCATTTGAATCAAATTTTATACACTACAGATCATATTCATATTCATATTAAGCAAATAAAGAACCTATCTGAAAATTACTATAACCCAGAGGTGCCTAGTACGCTGTACTTTTGATGACGATTTTTTTGGCCGCTAGGTGTCTCTAGTCTCTACCAAATAAAATCCCTTAAATCTTGAGAGCAGAGACGCATACGGGTAAAAAATTCGTCATTAAAAGTACAATGTATCTTTTTTTATTTTTAGGCTTAAGCCTATACCCCCTTCCATTTTAGCTTAACTGCAGTCTCATGAAACTAAAGATATATTTCTTTAATTTTGCTGCACTATCCCTTGTGTAGGCTAAATTAGTTTTAAATGGATCCACTGCAATCACACTGAAAAAAACATCAAAAAAATTATTTATCTATCTATTTATCTTTCTAACGATCTATCTTTTAATCTATCTATGCATCTATCTATCATTCTATGTATTTTTCTATCTATCTGTCTATCTGTGTATCTATCTATCTATATGTCTATATATCTATCTGTCTATTCTTCTATCAATCTATCTATCTATCTATCAATCTATCTATCTATCTACCTGTAGTTTGCTGCAGCTACTGTAACACTGAACATTCCAATATTTGATCCAATATCTAAAAAAGAGGAACTGATTCATATTTCAATTTTTTACAAGTAACAAAAAAGATTTATCTGGGTCTTTGTCTGATTTACAACGGGACCGGCCAAGCCGTTGTCTGAACATCGATTGTGAAAAAATCTTTGTTTTTTTGGTAATGGAATATGAACTCAACGCAGCTGAATTTACAGATATTTCTGGAAAATCGAAAATATTTAATATCGTCGAGTTCTTATTTGGAAGGGCACAATGATAATATTAACTCTATGAAAATACAAAAAAACATTTTTTTACAAAGTTATCAAAAATTATGGCTAGATCATGGTGGTTGAGATGAGAGTACATATTTGTAGAGAATACCTTCAGAATTCGTTTGAGACCTTTCAGAAGTTTTTACAGTGCATTTTTGTTCAGCAAAAGTATATTTCTCAATTTGAATTTTTCAATGAATCAATGTTAGAATCAATTATTCCTTTATATCATTATATTAAATTGCTAATTCTTTACAAATACCTTTATTCATTTCATTCTTTTTTAAATTTTTAATGTTACTGTTAAGTAAATCGGGAATATTTATCTTTGGTCAAAGTCCCTTTAATTGTCGTCCTACTATTCCACAGTTTATGGGTCCCACTGTATATTCTTATTCCACAGTTTATAGGTCCCACTGTATATCCTTATTCCACAGTTTATGGGTCCCACTGTATATCCTTATTCCACAGTTTATAGGTCCCACTGTATATCCTTATTCAACAGTTTATGGGTCCCACTGTATATCCTTATTCCACAGTTTATGGGTCCCACTGTATATCCTTATTCCACAGTTTATAGGTCCCAGTGTATATCCTTATTCCACAGTTTATGGGTCCCACTGTATATCCTTATTCCACAGTTTATGGGTCCCACTGTATATCCTTATTCCACAGTTTATGAGTCCCAGTGTATATCCTTATTCCACAGTTTGTGGGTCCCACTGTATATCCTTATTCCACAGTTTATGGGTTCCACTGTATATCCTTATTCCATAGTTTATGGGTCCCACTGTTTATCTTTATTGTATTTTGCATATTTGTGTTATCTAGTCTTGCCTAGAAAAGTAGCATCTGGATATTTAGCTAGAAGATTTAGAGTCATTCTCAGCTCATCTTTCTCATAATAACCTACAAGCAAGCATAACAACCATAGATTAATCAAAATAATAGATAGGACACTAGATATCGTCTTTTCAAGATTTATGTGTCTTTCCTTCACAATAACCCTGAGCCAAAAGCTCAAAGGAGTTAAACGTAGTCGGCGTAGAGCAGGCTCTCTCTGTCTTTGTTACACGCCGACTACATGTAACTCCTTTGGGATTCTGTCTCAGGGTTATCGTGAACAAAACACACAGAAATCTTGAAAAGACGACATCTAGTGTCATTTCTGTAATTATAATTGATCTATAATAAAAACAGTAAAGGAAATATAAGAATATAATGGCGTCCAGCAGTGACATCAAACTCAAGTAATAATTGCACGTTATAAAATTGAAATCTTATAATATTTTCAGAACTATCTAATTAAAGAGCTATTCAGAAGAATTCAAATTTTCTTAATTTGAATTTGCTTTTCTCATACTTGTATGTGTAAAATTTAAAAGTGTTTAATTCTGTGAATTTCCTTCAATGTCTGTGCACCATGAATCCGCAATTCACTTATGATTGTGCAACACTGTAAAATTGTTTAACATTTTTTTATATCCTTGACATATTTTGTTGGCAATTTCGGACAGAAATTTCGCAATGTTTAAAATTATATTTCAAATAATATTTAACCCTTCACTCTAGAAATGGAGGGTTAGTGCTGCATCCATAGAGAATAGAATATATATTAGAGAGGAATTTAAAGAATCTCTCGGTATGAATTTGTTCAGTCCCTTTCAGCCTGAAAGGGAGTTCAAAGTTTACAAATCATGTAAATGTTCACAAATTATATGCAGTAGTTTGTCTTTTTTATATTCTTTTGTACTCAGTTTTCATTGATATATTTTTTATATGTCTCACCTTCATAATAAATGTCTCCTGAAATTGTAAAATCTGTTTCTAAAGGTTTAATGCACATTATAAAAGTTGTCTGATTATCTCTGAGCGAGCGCCTGATAAAAAATCGAAATAGAACAGCTGAATATTTGAAAAAAGAATTTTGAGATGATGCAGAACGAGAAAACCAGTAAAAGTGCTCTGATTGAGATGGATATAGAAATTAACAAAAGTTGTAAATTCATGAATCTAAGATTTATATTTATTTCTTTTATTTATATTTTCAAAAAATGTTAATTCGTTTAATCGTTTAATTGTTTAATCGTTTAATCGTTTAATCGTTTAATTGTTTAATTGTTTAATTGTTTAATCGTTTAATCGTTTAATCGTTTAATCGTTTAATCGTTTAATCGTTTAATCATTTAATCGTGTAATCGTTTGATCGTTTAATTGTTTAATCGTTTAATCGTTTTATCGTTTAATCGTTTAATCGTTTAATTGTTTAATTGTTTTTTCATTTAATCGCTCAATCGTTAAATTGTTTAATAGTTTAAGCGTTAAATCGTTTAATCGTAGAAATCAAGTAATATTATTGAAAGAAAAGTGAGGTGTAAAAGGGAGAATTAAATAGTATTGAATATACGCAGAACTGGATTCCAGATCATTATAGATATCTATATACGCTTGGGTGTCTGTCTGTTTGTATCCAATAAACGTCAAAACGGCTGAACCTATAGGGCCCACATTTTTTGTGGAACATATCACATGACCCCAGGCAAGGTTTATGGCTGATCGAAATTAAAAAATTTGCCTCTAACAAAATTCGATTTTTGAAAATTTAAAAATCCACAAATTTTTTCTTTTTAAATCCGTGAATTTTTTTTTTTTAAACAAAATTGCGCTAGAATGATAAGATTTTTTCCTGACACATTCAAAGGGTCTAATCCTTGGCAACATTTCTCCTAAAGATACAAATTATTTTTTTAATAAAAATATTGAATACTACCTGAAGTAATAAAAGCAAAAATTTAAGTATTTCTCAGAAACTATTTTCTTCACCCCCTCCCTCGCTGAAGTGCATGGCGTTGCCCGTTAAAAAAAAATTTTATTTAAAAAAATGGAATTGAAAAAAGTTGGAATTTTTTAGCCTATGTTACCCTGCAGGTAGGGATGTTAACGTTTTCATTTTTTTAAAAAACGATCGTTTTTTTCGTTTTCCTATCGTTTTTTGTTTCGTTTTCCGATCGTTTTAAAAACTATCGTTTTTTTAAAAAGTTTTTAAACCGATTGTTTTTAAAATGATCGAAAAACGAAACAAAAAACGATAGGAAAACGAAAAAAACGATCGTTTAACAACCGTTTTCAAAAACTATTAACAACCCTTCCTGCTGGGTACCCATGGAGTTTCCGTTTTGCCAGCTATAGCTAACATACATTTAAAAATACATATATGAGCGAAGTGCTTTATTATATAGATTATTTGGTTGGAAAAAACTAATTTACAACTACTCTACAGGGTATGGAGGGCAAATGTTCCCAAAATAAATAAAAGTCTTAAATTTCCTGAAGAATATCCTTTGAAATTGTATTGCTTGTTTAAATGAAATCCTACGATTTGTCATAAACACTTTGCAGACCAAGGTTTTTTCTGTAAAATCGATAATTTTTTGTCAAAATCAGTAAATTAAAGAATAGAATTATAATAATCTGAATTCCTTTGATTTCTATATTTTGAGATTGTTGAACTTTCATATTCTTAAGTTCTAAAGAATCTACAGGTGACAGCACATAATCAAAAGGCTCAGATTCGCTAGGTGGTGGTGGTTTTGACTCAACCAGTACTAAAAAAAAGAAATCAGTTGCTTTTTATATAAACCTGGATGAGCTAAAAAAGAGCTAGATAGATTAAAGGTTATGTTTTTTTTGTAGTTTTCTAAAAAATTTCTAATTTTGTTTTTAAATGTTGAATGAGAAACTAATCAAAATTCTACCAAAGAATTTCTTAATGACTGTTTGACTAAGACATCAGCAAAAATAAATACACTTTAAATGGTCTAATGTATAAATCCAAATCGACAATTTTCAACCATTTATAGCACGTAGTATTTTATTAGCAAATTGTAGGTCTAATTGTTAATCGTTTGGAAGAAAAAAATACAGCGGCCAAGGACTGTACCTTATACTTTGTACACCTCCAGGATTGAACCGATGAAAGATTAGGTACGGGGTGTCCCAAAAAACATGGGTATTCAGTGACGAATTCGACTACACCAAATCAATGAATTATTTAAAAAGAAGATATCAAATTCGGCACTGAATTCTCATGTTTATTGGGACACCCTGTACTATAGCACTCTTTCATTGAATGGTATGTATGCTGCGTTTGGCTCAATCCTAGAGGTGTACAAAGTACTAACACGCAATTAGGAGATTATAAAATGAAAAGTTTTTCTTAGTATATTGATTGAAAAAAAATTTAAGTTTTAAAAAGTTTTGCTTCTTGCTTTTTTTTGCTTAAAAATTATCTTAAAAAGCTTACTGTTAAGTGTTATGTAGGTGAGTATAACTAGTACTCCAACTCCAACTGTTCCAGTAACAATCTGATCATTGACATTGACTCAGTAAAGATTAATAGAAAAAAGCATCTATATGAATAATTTGCTTGTCTGTCTGTTTGTTTGTTTGTTTGTTTGTTTGTATCCAATAAACATCAAAACGGCCGAACCAATCAGGCCCAATTTTATTTGGGACCTCATATGACCACAGGGAAGGTTTATGGATTTTCAATAAATATTCACAATTGAGATGTAAGATGGGTGCGAAGCGCCCTGAAAGCCTAGTCTAGTATATAAGTAAAAACAAAATTTAAAATAAGTAAAATCAAAAAATTATATAATACATTATTACCTTGAGTAAATTGACTTTACATGATTTTATTAATAAAACAATAATTTCAAGTGTCTGTATGTTAATACCCATCTCTAATTCAAAGCATTATATGCCCAATTTACAACGTTGTGGAAGACGATGCCTGGCCGCGTTAAACTAGTTCCACAAGATTCAACAGAATGAGATAGAACGGATACGGGGCATAGTACTGATAGATCATCTACACGTGTGATATCGATATTGACTCTAGTTCTGAACCCTCTAGTAATAAGTTATAAGAAATATATATACTGGAAATTACTTATGCGTTTTATTAGAGTCTGACTCACGTCCTCTATAACGTAACATATCAGATGAATTTTTACCCGTGGTAGAAATTATTCGTAGTTACCGTGAGAATTTCTTTGAATTTTCCCCGTTGAAATGAATCAATTTTTAGATATATAAACGTAATCGTTTGTGCCCAGGCTATAAGATGACATTATCTCTCTTTTTCACATTTATCATTTAAACTCTTTCGAGTAGGATTTGAAACTTAAAAAACACCTTTTTCTTTTTTCTTTCTCCGACTTTTAACATTTTTCTGAAATGTTAATAAAATTGAGATTTAACAAAGGTTACAAAACACTTCATGAAAAAGACACAATATCAAAGCTAATATTGTTAAATAAAATCATGAATTAAATCAAGGAAGCTAATATTGTGAAATAAAATCATGTTAAATCAAGGAAACTAATATTGTTTTATAAAATCATGTTAAATCAAGGAAGCTAATATTGTTAAATAAAATCATTTTAAATCAAGGAACCTAATATTGTTAACTAAAACCATGTTAAATCAAGGAAACTAATATTGTTAAATAAAATGATGTTAAATCAAAGAAGCTAATATTGGTAAATAAAATCATGTTAAATCAAGGAAGCTAATATTGTTAAATAAAATCATGAATTAAATCAAGGAAGCTTATATTGTTAAATAAAATCATGAATTAAATCAAGGAAGCTAAAATATTGTTAAAATAAAACATTGTTTATCAAAGCTAATGTTGCTTCAGTTAGAAACTTGTTTAATAAAAGCTGATTTTCTTAAATAAAATAAAATATATACGTATATAGTTTTTGTTTTACAAAGAATGCAAAAAGAAAATGTTTACGATTGAAATACAAAATGAGCGCGAAGCGCCCTAAAAGCCTAGTTTGTTTTTATTTGGCTTGCAATTTTATTTTTCATAATTTTTAACATTCCATTGTCATTTTAAACGACTTGAATAGGGTTAAAGTTAATTCTCAGATTTTGACATTTTGAATTATATCGAAAAGAATACAATAAACAAATTGAGTAAATAACGCGTGAAAGAACAAGAAACGGTAAGAATAAGAGTAATGTGAAATGTTATGAGGTTCACATCAGTTTAGCAACTATCACACATTGGACAAAATTATGGCAAGTCATTGCACCTTACTTTCTAGTATATGTATATATATATTATATATACCTGTATACCTATATATATGTATTATATATATATAGGTATATACAGCTGGTTACCCACAAAGGATGAGACTTCAGAGACGATTGTACGAAAATTACACTATCTGTATTTTCTATATATTCATAACTCCTTGCAACTGTAAACAGTTTTGGTTGTTGCCATATCATTAAATAAGCTCTATATTTACTTATTTAGGCAGAAGATTTGAGTTTACCTATAAATCGAGAGAGTAACAGCAATTATCAAAAATGTCAAAAATCGGAATTTCCCAAAAACCCAGCCATTCCCAAATGCCTATGTATCTGAGAAATACCTGGGTATCTGGGAAATTCCCAAATACCTTTTTAATAAAAAATTAAATTGCTGTCGTGTCATGATAAATCGTCATATTTTGAGAAATTATAAACTGAATGCAAGTTATACCCCTGGACGTGTTACCCCTAGAACAATGTTTTTTATTTCTAATTATTAATTAAGACTCTCGTTAATTTTGGTACAAATATCCTGATTTCTACTTTCTAAAGTCCAATGATTGGTAAACAATTCTCGCCTGCTTTATACGTAGAAATGTTGGGGTCAAATTTGTTTTGGCAGGAAAGGTTTAATGCCGGTTAAAAATTAGAACAGTGTCCGAAATTAATGAATTTGAGCCGCGTCTTAAATCCGCCAAAAAACGGTTTCAATTGAGCGCCGGCTTAAATCTTTAAACATCGAATACAATTTTAAGTGAAACCAACCATATTTAAGCATATATTAAGCCGCCGCTAAAATTCTTAAAATTCGGCCTCAGATTGCATCAAAAAGATTTCCAGTTTTTAAATACTTGGAAATTAATTTATAAAAGCACAAGCAGGAAATCCGTAAAACTTTGTCAATCACAGTTAAATGATAAATCCGAACTTTCATGAACGGGGTTAAGGTTTTTAATCGTTTTTTAAAAACAATTGAAAACTATTAATCTTGTGGTTCACTACATTTTCTCTCAACGTCTACATCAAAAATTAAAAGAAATATTTTTATTCAAATTCAATCAAAAAAGTGTTTTTTTTTTTAATTCTAAGAGATTGTTGAAACTTTAAAAAATTCACATAATACTTACATTTTTTAAGGCAAGAATTCAAAGCTAAGCCAAGGATACCGCTCAAGGGACAAAATAAGGTATATACTTTCGTTAAAAAAATGTTCTTGAAAATTTAGCGAATTTTCTTCTATGAAACAATACTGACATGGTTTCTTGAATTCCTAACTTTAAAAAATTAAAATCCTTTTAAACTTCCCTTCTAAATAATCTTGAGAGGACACATTTTTATAATCATGAGAATAAACTCGACTATGGTAAGTAGTGAGGCTCCAATACACAGTCCTAGGCTTCCTCCCATTCCGTTGATAACATCCACTATTGCCTAAAATATAACCATAAAACCCATTGACCGATTTTCTTCAAATTTTGATTGGGGAACAAACTAGAACCACGGGATTTTTCTTAGTTGGGTTAAATAAATTAAGTGTGTTGATTTTTATAGGGAAAGGTTAGATTGCCAGGCAAAGCTGGGTTCCCAAGCTAGTTGCCTGGCTAAATGGAAAAATGGAAAAAGTTTGTTTGACTGTTTTTCACATTTTCAAATGCTAAACAAAATTGTAAACTTTTCAAAATTTACATCGTACCAAATGTGTACACTGCAGTACACTGTACACTAACTAAACATATTAAAGAGTGATATCTATACATCTATTAATATAAAGTTGTAATTTCTGTTTGTCTATCTATCTGTTTGGTTGTTTGTCCAATCATAACTCAGGAACCCCTTGACCTATTTGCCTCAAACTTTGATTGGGGAACCCGGGAGAACCACGGGATCAAGTTTTAGCTTAGTTTTGAGATTCTAAGTTGAGTGATTCGACTTTTAAGCGAAAACTTGAGTTCCCGGTAAAATCGTTCAAGTGCAGATAAACGGTGGAATAAATATTCTGAGCATCGCTGGGTTCCCAAGCTATTCTTATATAAAGTTGTTATCTCTGTTTGAGTGTCTGTTTGTTTGTTTGTCCGATCATAACTCAGGAATTCCTGGGCTGATTTGCCTCAATTTTAATTGGGGAACTCGGCCGGGAGACCCACGGGAATATTCCTAGCTTGCTTTTTTGATTGTAAGTTTAATGGGTAAACTTTAATAGCGAAAATTTTGTTTTTTTATTATTTTTAGTTTGTGGCAAAAGCTCAGTTCCTAGAGCTGACTTTCATGTAAAATTCAAAAGTTAATCACCTTCCCCTTGTTTGAAATGAAGGAATACTTCATATCTCTGTAGAATACTGAAGCAATTATAACATCATCAGAGATACCATGAACTTTCTTCAGATTCTCTACAGTCGCAAACTTCAGGGGTTGAGTCGTTGTGTGCATAGTGTACTGGGTTTCTATGCAACTCTCCAAACATGCTTTTCGAAACTTTAATATCATTTCTCTAAAAATTATTGTCTGTAAAGGGACTGTTTGCGTAATTTCAGTTGACTCATCACGCGAAGATTCCAATGCCCGATTTGCAACGGTTTCCTTAAAAGCTTTGACTGATCAAGGAATTGTCGAATTCTCATAAATCTACGAAAACGCTTTAAATTGTTAAACTCTTTGTTTCTAGAATTAGTAATAGTTAATTTCGAAGGTATTCGGCAATATCAAGGGACACAAGTTAGTCATCAGCTGTATGCAGCGTATATCAGCTGTATGCAGCGTATATCAGCTGTATGCAGGGTATATCAGCTGTATGCAGCGTATATCAGCTGTATGCAGGGTATATCAGCTGTNAACCAACCTCCTCCAACGAAGGGTAAAAATAATGATAAACAAAATGCTATTTACAGTCGCAGGAAAGATCAAAACATCATTTTCCTGCTACAGTATATCAGATGTATGCAGGGTATATCAGCTGTATGCAGCGTATATCAGCTGTGTGCAGCGTATATCAGCTGTATGCAGGGTATATCAGCTGTATGCAGCATATATCAGCTGTATGCAGGGTATATCAGCTGTATGCAGCGTATATCAGCTGTATGCAGCGTATAGCAGCTGTATGGAGCGTATATCAGCTGTATGCAGCGTATATCAGCTGTATGCAGAGTATATCAGCTGTATGCAGCGTATATCAGCTGTATGCAGCGCATATCAGCTGTGTGCAGCGTATATCAGCTGTATGCAGCGCATATCAGCTGTATGCAGCGTATATCAGCTGTATGCAGCGCATATCAGCTGTATGCAGTGCATATCAGCGTATATCAACTGTATGCAGCGTATATCGCGTTTTCAGGGGGTTCAAGTGGTTTTTAAGAGATTTAAACATAATTAGCTCTTATAACTGGATAAACAGTTTAAAGAACAGTTTAATGCTTAAAATTTACCGTTGTAAATCGGACATTTGTATGGAGGGTCGCATGAAATAATGCTAACAATCCCTTTAATATGATTTTTATTCTTTTAGAAATGGTTATGACAATTAAAAAAGTTTAATCCTCACGCAACATATTTCCGATTAAAATTTATAATTCTTAAAGGTTAAAAATATATTTTTCAAGTTATGATTATTTGCAACTACTTAACAGGGAACTTAAGGAAATTTTACTTCACCAAGGTTTCCAAGACCAATTTTGACTAATAAACATTCAGAGCGCAGCAAAAATTTTTTAAAAAATAAAATTGATAGAGGGAACCCGTGGCCTTAAGTCAAATTTTTAATTTCCCGAAAAAGTAGGTGTACACAATTTTATCGTCTTTTGAGATGAAAATGCGCAATTTTTTTCCGAAAACTTAACAGAGTGGGTAGTTATTTTACATAACTGTCTGAAGGGACGTTAAGTAACCTAACCTCCTCTGTTGGGGGAATCAAAGATCGGTATAATGTTGGTCAAAAGGCGGTTAAAAATATATTTTCTAGTTAAAAAATTACCTTTTGACATCAATATCAATAGAATAGTAGTATCCATGTTGAATTGGAGTACAATAAGACTTATTAGTATCAATTTCCCCAAGCATAAGAATTGAACAATTAAATTGTGATTCAATATTATCCTAAAGGGGTTTTCATATGAGAAGATAAAATTTATCCAAACTTAACCATTTATCAATTTGGCTCTGTAAAAAAACAATGTTTTAAAAACTTATTTTTTTTCTTTATGCATTTTGCTTGAGAATGTTAAATAAATCTTAAATTAATTCTTTTCAAATATTTATGAGATTTAAAAAATAAAAATTGCATTTAAACCTAATGGAGTTTTCAATAGATGGCTTTGATCCGCAACATTTTGGCTTTCAGGATCCAGATACGGATACAATAAAGGGGCAAATTATCAACATGTTAAAAATGTTTAGCTCTAATCTATATATAAATTTGGCTTGTCTGTCTGTTTGTCTGTCTGTCTGTCTATCTGTCTGTTTGTATCCAATAAACGTCAAAACGGCTGAACCGATCGGGCCCAAATTTTTTGTGGGACATCTAGGGACCCCAGGGAAGGTTTATGAAAGATGTACACTAAGAGAACATGTTCACAATTAATTTAGAAGATGGGCGCGAAGCGCCCTATAAGGCTAGTAACATAAATATCAACTGCTTTCATTAATGAAAGTTACTAACTGAAAAGTTTTAACTTTTAAAAAGCTGTAAACGGAAAAGAAATTTTTAAATATCTTCAAAAATCGGTAAATCTTGTAGAAATGCTAATGAGTCATGACATGGCCCAGATTTGGATCTGATTTTGAATCCTTATACATTCTGAACAACTCCTATTTTTTAATTTTTAGCCTAGGCTGAAAAACTAAATTTCTTAATTGCTCTTCAGTTTAAAAAACAATATAAAAAATTGCTTAAGATTCTGCAAGATTTCAAAATAAAATGTAATCAATATTTTCAAGTGTAAAAACTACACGAGACAAAAAAATTGTCAGAATGAAAAACAATTTCTGCTTCTTATATTTCCTGGATAAGATTGTAAACGCATTCATCAGTATTATATATTTTCTTTTTTCTTTCTTCATCTTCAATCCAGGTTTGACAATGCACAGGTTCGATATCCCGGGCTTTGTTGGTGTTATCAATATAGGTTTTAGTAACAGCTATAAGGTTATAAGGGTATAATAATGATAATAATAACTAAAATATTTAGTAATGTAGTTATTTCACAACTAAATCCAAACATCACATGATTTTTACAAAAAAGGCTAAGTTTCCGGTACANCCCCTGACCTATACTCCTGGATTAATGAAAATATATTATACCCCTGACCTATACTCCTGGATTAATGAAAATATATTATACCCCTGACCTATACTCCTGGATTAATGAAAATATATTATACCCCTGACCTATACTCCTGGATTAATGAAAATATATTATACCCCTGACCTATAGTGTTTGCAGTATCAGGACTAAGGTTCTCTAAAAAGTTGAGAGCTGTTGAATGATGATGTGAATACTCGTCAACTATTGTTATTCTCAATCCTTATTCAACATTTTCATATTTACTTTTGCAATAAAACCCCATAATTATAAGGGAGTTAAAAATTTAATGCACTTGACATGATGTAATTTTGAATTTTTGTTTGACATATAATTTGACCTATTTATCCAGAAAGTCTGGTTCCTTGTGAAAACTGAGACTTCAAACTGATTCACAACTACAGTTGTACAGTTGTACAGTTGTACAGTTGTATAGTTGTACAGTTGTACACTTAATTTTGTTTCCTCTCAATGTACATTGTATATTTTATAGTTTGCTTAATTTTATCAGAAATGAAGCACGCTGTCTCTTTCTATTTAGTTTGAAAGACCAATTTAAAAACTTAAAATGTGTAAAATATAAATGTTTAATTTCCTGATCCATGATTCAAAATTGCCTTTGAGGAGGCTATTGGGATATCTATCAGTTTATCATCGTTAATAGGTGCACTCAGGGCCATATTCAATGCAAACAATTCTCCAACAGTTGGCTTTAATTTCTTTAACTTTCCTAGGGTTGAAAAACATTTATGTCCCGTCACGTACTTCGGGGGACCAAATATAGTGGCGCAACAGTTCTTCAGGTAAACTGGTTCGTCCAGCCCGAAATTACACGCCGCGACCAGATCCTTCATTAGAGAGATATCAACATTAGTAATTACAAACAGGGTTTATACCCACAAAGGATGAGACTGTAAAGACGACCTGAAACTCTTAAAATGTGACGATTTCAACGCTAAATTATGTATTCTGCTTTAGATATAGTTGTCATTTGATGATTTGACATGGAAACAAATATGTTTAGAATTGCAGGGAATCGTAAATATAAGGAAACAGGCAGTATAAATTCTGTACAATCGTATCTGAAGCCTCGTCCTTTGTAGGTAATACTGCACTCACAAAATTCCGGTGACCAGAGTGCATTTTCGATAGAAAAATCAGGAGCTGTTGCATTCGCAATATCAGTTTCTTTCTTATAGTAATATACCCAAGCAACATACAATGATAACCAGAAAACTCTGAAATAGGAAGACGATTTCTAGATTCAAGTTATGATGAACATGAGACACAGCAATTGTGCAGTGTATACAGACCCATTTAACTTAATAAGTTATCAAAAAAATATCTATAGAAAAACTATTTGCTTTGTAATAACATCAAATAAGTATCGCTATAATGTCGTCTTCATATTCAAGAGTTTTCTTGTTAACACTGTAGTAAAATCACTTTGTATCATATCATTACGAGAGATAGTGATATTGCGAATGCCAGGGTTCTCCTCACTTTCTTCTTACGTTTCAATTTCTGGGAATCGGATTTTTTTTCTTCTCAGAACACCTCCTATTATGTTTAGAGATATATATATATAATATGCTAAGGGGACACAGTGAGAACCAGAAAAACTAGTAACAGTTTTACTTTATAAAAATATCAAATGCAATTCAAATATTCCTTCAGGTCGTCTTCCTATACCACAGTTTTCTGGTTCTCACTGTATGCTAAAGTTGGTATCCCAACCTCGCATTTAACGGTTATGTTCTCGATCAAGGTGTAAGGATTATTGTCAAACTGCTTCAGCACTTGATGATACACTGCGTGGATTTTCCCTAGGATCGTCGGATCACGTGACATTAGAGTGATCATTTCTGTAGAGGATTGCGGGAATAGCATGTAGGATATATAGGAGGTTAGGTTGATATTATCAACACCCAGAGCTTAAAATAGACTATCAATGTAATTTGCAGTGACACTTCACTCAAGTGACCCTCCATGTAAAGATGGTAATGTCCGATTTACGATACCCTTCAAAGAGTCTTTTCAAGTATTAATTAACTATGCTTTTGCCTTTGTTTCTTTAAACTGTTTTTTATTTGTGGTTTCTCTGCAAAAGTGATTTCTTGCACACATTTTATCAGATAAAAGTTTCAAGGGTACTGTTGCAAATCGGGAATTGCTATCTTTGCATGGAGGGTCACTGAAGGAAGATTACGCTTACAGTCCCTTTAATGCGTTGTGTATGTCCGATTCAAAGCAGTTAGCAATTTATTCTTTATCTAAGCAAGAATGAGGACTTTTTTGAAAAGTGTTTTATAATGGAAATCTTTGTCTTAAGTGCATAAATCCGTGAGTTACTTCTCGAAACCCACATGTTTCAAATAATCAAGTTTTAGAGTTTTAGAGACAAAACACAGTTTCTTTGTCAGCTTTGTTAGAGTAACAACTGATTTGTTAGGGCCCACGATTTGAAAACTTCGACTCGAGTCGTTTTTACTTAAACCCGACTCTAAGACCCAATCTTCGACCCAACTCTGACGACAGCTTGTCTCACGTGATTGACAGCTGCAAGCTCTTCGGCTCAAGTTAAGGAGTTGGGCCCAATGAAAATAAAACCGATCTTGGTTGGTTTTAGTGGAGAATAAGGGTCAGTATCTAGTCTTGTTCTCATCAAAACCCAGAATGCGCCAATTCTAATCGTGAAAATCCACCAAATAGAATATTAAATCGGTTTTTTGAACTCAACTCTGTGGAAAATAAGATGCAGTTTGAATCCGAAAGCTCAAGCCGTGAATAAGGCCCATCGACAGCTCAGACCCGAGCCGTATTTTCCCAAATTTTTTAAATCGCGGGCTCAATGTTACTCTAACAAAGGTTTAAAAGGTACCGTTGTGAATCGGGCACAGTACTCATTGAGCAAAGGATCAGATCGATGCAATTACATGGACAGTCCCTTTGATAGCAGACGCCTTCCAGGGATATGGATCACAGATCATAATATTTGGGATTTCGAAGTTTCCATTTTCATCAGACAGGGATTTAAATCCCAGGGTTGTACTATAGCCAGGCTCAGAGACAAAATCCTAAATTATTATTACCATTATTATTATTATTATTATTATTATTATCAGTATTAACCTCTACTGTATTGTATGCTGTAGCACTAAAGAAAACGACAGCTCCAATGATAAGAAAAATCCAAAGAATTCTCTCCGCCGCAGATCCACTGTCTGCTAACCTAGGGAGAATTAAAGGGGTTCTTAGCGAAGTTTTAAACGACACTTAACTAATAACCTTTAAACCTGAGCTTAATCATTAATTTGAAAAATGGTTAAGCATTGATTACCATCCTATGTAGACCTATGGACTAATATTTCCTCTGTATTATTTCGTGGTGGTTTCTGGTCATACCCTACAGGGATAAGCTTTATTACGGGATCAAGCATCTGTCATAAAATTAAAGGTGCTCACATTGAATACCGAGTTCATCAAGCAATAAAGATTAAGGATACTCAATAGTATGGCTAATTTTTCGAAAGTGACTTGATGCTTTCTCCAATGACAAGCAAGAAAGAATATGATTCTTCTATTGTACATTATATTAAAGGAAACAGTTATATATAAATCAATGAAGATAAAATCCTTGACAAGAAGACTTTTCCAAAAGAAACTCCTGATAGGACAAAATATTAACAAATAAACTCCTCAAGTGTTTTCTAAAGGACAGAACTGCAAAAAAGAGACAAAATCCTGAAAAGAAAACTCCTGAGAGGAAATACTCTTGAATAGACAAATCCTTGATGAGACAAACTTCTGACCGGACAAACTGCTTTAAATCTAATTCCTGATAGGGACAAATATTTCTTAGAGTAATAACCAAATTTCCAGTTCGAAACCAAATTTCCAGTTCGAAAATCTACCGAAACGAAAAACTTCTAAAGGGCAAAACTTTTTCATAAAGGTTACATTTTTGTAAACACCAACTCTCGACAAACATAGTTCTTAAAGAAAAACTGCTGAAGAGAAAAATTACTGAAATACAAATTACTGAAAGGAAATATTTAAAAAAAACACAAAATACAATAAGGACAAAAACGAACTTCTGATGGGAGAGGATTAGAAAAGATCAAACTTTTAAAAAGACAACTCCTCTGAAAACAAACTCATAAATAGTCAAATTACTGAAAAGATGAACTCCTGAAAGAATAAAGTTCTAAAAGGAAAAACTCCTGAAAGAACAAACTTCTAAAAGAAAAACTCCTGAAAGAACAAAAGAAAAACTTCTGAAAAGACAAACTTATAAAAAGAAAAACTCTTGAAAGAACAAACTTGTATAAAGAAAAACTCCTAAAAAAACAAACTTCTAAAAAGAAAAACTCCTGAAAGAATAAAGGTCTAAAGAGAAAAATTCCTGAAAGAATAAAATTATAAAAAGAAAAACACCTGAAATAACAAAAAGAAAAACTCCTTAAATAACAAAAAGAAAAACTCCTGAAAGACAAACTTCTAAAAAGAAAAACGCCTGAAAGAACAAAGTTCTAAGAAGAAAAACTTCTAAAAAAAAACTTCTTAAAAGAAAAACTCCTAAAAGAACGAAGTTCTAAAAAGAAAACTCCTGAAAGAACAAACTTCTAAAAAGAAAATCTCCTAAAAGAACAAAGTTCTAAAAAGAAAAACTCCTGAAAGAGTAAAAATATAAAAAGAAAAACACCTGAAATAACAAAAAGAAAAACTCCTGAAAAGGCAAACTTCTAAATAGAAAAACTCCTGAAAGAACAAAGTTCTAAAAAGAAAAACTCCTAAAAGAACAAAGTTCTATAAAGAAAACCTCCTGAATGAATAAAGTTCTAAAAAGAAAAACTCCTGAAAGAATAGAAATCTAAAAAGAAAAACACCTGAAAGAACCAAGTACTAAAAAGAAAAAATCCTGAAAGAATAAAATTCTAAAAAGAAAAACTCCTGAAATAATAAAGTTCTAAATAGAAAAACTCCTGAAAAGACAAACTTCTAAAAAGAAAAACTCCTGAAAAGGCAAACTTCTAAGAAGAAAAACTTCTGCAAGAACAAAATTCTAAAAAGAAAAAATCCTGAAAAGACAAACTTCTAAGAAGAAAAACTCCGGGGGAAGACAAACTTCTAGAAAGAAAAACTCCTGAAAGAACAAAGTTCTAAAAAGAAGAACTCCCGAAAGAATAAAATTTTAAAAAGAAAATCACCTGAAATAATAAAAATAAAAACTCCTGAAAAGACAAACATCTAAAAAGAAAAACTCCTGAAAAGATAAACATCTAAAAAGAAAAACTCCTGAAAAGACAAACATCTAAAAAGAAAATCTCCTGAAAAGACAAACATCTAAAAAGAAAAAGTCTTGAAAAGACAAACATCTAAAAAGAAAAACTCCTGAAAAGACAAACATCTAAAAAGAAAAACTCCTGAAGGAACAAACTGCTAGAAACTCAATATTCTGAAAGGACAAACCAACCAAAAAATCTAAAACTTTAAAGACAGTCCCCGAAAAGACTAACTCAAAAAACACAACCTTTTTTCCCCCTAGCCTCCCCTCCCCCCATTAATTTCATAATAGAGGGAGGGGAGATTGTTAATTATCATATGTCTACTAACCAATGTATTCCATGAGCTGATGTTGAACGAGCAAAACTTGCCATTGTTCCTTTTCCCCTCATGGTTTATTTAATACTAGATACTTCAGGACTATAATATACAATAATACAATAGGGGTTAACTCAACCCGGTTGAGGAACACATTTTTGGAGTTTCACACACTTCATTTGGGACTAGCCAATCAGAGCTGATAACTTTAGGATTGGATACCCTTAACACCCATTGCTTAACCTGAATGGACACTTTTGTTTTCTGCTTAATATTTTCCCTCTAATTGGATATCCCAACCGGATTCCGACAAATTAGAGTTCTCTTATTAAATGGCGCGCAAAATTTTTAATTTTGCGGATTCTGTTTGGCTGTCTGGGGTTCTTTTTACGCCCCTCTGATTGGTTGAATTTTAGATACTTACCTGGATACAAACTAAAGATTAAAAAAATCTTAATATTCACAAGAAGATATCTTGATATCCACATTTCTAAAGTTTTCAGGTCAGAACTCTACAGCTATTACAAGAAATGTAGAACTAGAAAAAGTTCTTCTATTGAATGGAGATTTTTAATATGAACAGAATGTTCTGTTAATAAAGGGAAATAATAGACAAGTCATTATTTTAAAGAGAACAGAAAACTTATTTTAACCTAAAGACAATTTTAGTTCAGATTATGAGATCCATGGCCTAAACTTCTGTGACCTCTGAAGTAGGATGTCGACTTTTAGACTCAAGATGTGACTTTATAGTGTCCAATGAACAGCAATTGTGCAGTGTCTATTGCTAAGCTATAAAATTTGAGCCTAGATTGAAATTAGGTCTACAGACAGTCAGACAGTAAGTTTAAAATGTAAAGAAAGATTACCGTTTGTCAGAATTCTACAAGACGACATCTATTGGAGAAAGGTTTCAAGATAAGACATCTATTGGAGAAAGGTTTCAAGATAAGACATCTATTGGAGAAAGGTTTCAAGATAAGACATCTATTGAAGAAAGGTTTCAAGATAATACATCTGTTGAAGAAATGTTTCAAGATAAGACATCTATTCAAGAAAGGTTTCAGTATAAGACATCTATTGGTCTAAGTACAAATTGGTTAATAATTTATGAACGGACAAAAAAGAACAAAAAAACAGAAATGTTTAGAAGATAAATTCATGTTCAACATTGTTGTACACTTTTTATGTTAGCTCCTTCAATAATAACAATTGTTGTGTTAAAGATAATATGCACTCTTTTTCAAACCAATATTTATAATGAGAGCTTAACAACATTTATTATACTCCTTATTCTTTTCATAACAGTTAATTGTCTATTCAGGAAATAATGAGTAAGTAAATATTTTATTTCAGGGTTGCAACAAAAATATTAGACCCTAAAGTTGTTTTGAACCCCTATATCTAAAGTTTGTTTTGAACCCCTATATCTAAAGGCTTAACTGTTTTACATGCAACAAAATTTTACTATGAAACTTTAACGCATCCATATAAAAATTCTATATAAAAAAATAAAACAAGACATTCGTATATATATAGATATGTTGCCTGTACCCGGTCAAACGGGCTGAAATTTTTTGGGTTAGTTAGTTAGGTTTAGTCGGGGGGTGTTATAGGCTGAAAAAATCGAATTTTTTTTATTTTTTTTCCACGGGCAACACCCTTCAGATAGTAAAATATAAATTTACATCAATTTGGAAGGATCAGTAACATGACTAACAGTACACATTTGCCTGTAAAACATTTAAGTGTATTTTTCGATGCAATATCGTTTGCACTAATGTGATCAATCAATCAACTGCAATCAAACCAACGCACAAAAGTCAGCTGATCAGAAACCGGTTTGTATTACGATTGAATATTAGTACAAATGAACACAAATTGAGCTTAAATTCAATTGGACTAAAATTTTATTTTCCCACCAAGAATATTTTAAAAGAAATAATCATTGGTGCAATCATGATCTGGAATGCTAAAAATATTTGTCCAAATGCACAAAATTTTTATTTAAATTTCAAGCGCAATATATTGTTAGTTAAAATTTGTTCAACCAATGGATACCTGTTAGAACTACTCCCCGTTTGAACTATTGTTCGTTGTAACTATTGTTCATTTGCATTACTAACATGACGTCATATCCTGTAGTTCAAATCAACACATATTACCTGATCATTTGAACTGTTTTTCAATAAATTCAGTTTCATGAAGTCAGGTCATACAATTAAATTGATGTAGTTTAAACACAAAGAAATATTTCAAATAAACATAAAATAGATCAAATAGAAATAAAACTAGTTCAAATGAACCAAAAATAGTTCAAGTAAACAAAAAAATAGTTAAAATGAAATAAGAAATAATTCAAATGCACCAAAAAATAGTTCAAAAGAAATGGTTTAAAATAAAATAAAAAATATTTCAAATGAACCAAAAAATATTTCAAATAAAATAAATAGTTCAAAACATTTGTATTGTATTATTTCAGGGTAAGAGGGCTTTGTCTGGGCCGAGCGCTGCGACTAGGACAGACTAGTGGGCCAAGCGCTGTTGCCAGGACGACCAAAACAGACCTTCAATTTCAATAATTTTCAACTAAATGCGTATATATTTAGGGTTAAAACTGCGGCTAGAACAGTAGCTAGGGGACTGTGCGCGACGGAAAGGGCAGGCTGGTGGGCCGGGCGCTACGGCCACATGACAAAATTTATTCTTTGTCCATTTAACCTATTTATTTCACATGAACTTTTTCCTTTTCATTTGAATTGCATTTTTTTCATTTTAACTATTTTTTTTGTTCGTTTGAACTATTTTTTTCTCCATAAAAAATATTTATTTTGTTAATTTTTACTATTTTTCGGTTCATTGGAACTATTTTTATGTTCATTTAAACTATTTTGTCAGATTCACGACGGTAACCTAAAACCCAAAAGCTTGAAACTAAGTAATAATGAAAAATCGTAATTATCCTTCCGAACGATTTGTATAATTGTCTGCATGTCACCCTCATCAAGAAATAATTTTCATTCTTTTTTAACTAAAATAAGAAGTCCAAATTGTAAATTTTATTTCAGTTGACAATGGTTAAAATTACTATTTTATAATTTTCAGGCATTTATTAATTAGTACTGATCCACTGGAACGAACAGGTGTAAATTCAAGATGTAAATTATTTGGCAAAATAGAAATTTTTCCGCACTTCGGGCATTGTCGCAAATGAATGGCATAAAAGGGGAAAAATTTGAAAAACAATCGGCGAAAATTTACAATTTCTGAAAATTTACATGTTTCATAAAATTACATATAGGGTTGCATAAGTTAATGAGTATTACTACAATTTCACTATTCGATATTAAAACCAAATTGGACTAAAATTTACAAAAATTTTCAGTTAAAAACGATAAAATTTAATGTTTATCGGTGAGTCCTTAGCAAAGGGTTTCCCAATTTGTTTTTGTACTTTTCTCTAAAATTGTTTATTTTTACGAACACGAATCCTTGAGAATTGGACCAATTTAGAATTTGTGTGGTGTCAAATCGCAAGGGTTTAAAAATATTACATATTTTGTAGTTACATATAAGGCACAGAATGCACATCAATATCGACGAGTTGGTTCAACATCATTGATATAATACTGAGATCGTACAAATTAAAAAAGCGATTAAGCTTTGTAATAAAAAATAAAGCGTAATTGTTTCCCCATCTAGCAAATACAAATAAATGCAAGGAATGAAAACCAGGTTAACCCGAGTTAATTGATAAAAAAAACCGCGAAACACAAAGATTGCGTATCGGATTTATCATTTTTTCAATCCGGGTTGAAACCAGTTAAATGTTAAAAATCCGCAATAAGAGCCGTTGCGGATTATCTCTTCTCCAACTTATGATTAGTTTACAAATTGAGCGGGCTGGCCGTCCATCTCCTTAACAGCAACCTTGGCATGACCGACCATGACGTGACCGGCAGAAAGAAGTCGCTGGGCAACCTGATGGTCTGTGTACACGACATATCCAAACTTGACCTGCTTCTTGCCGAACTTCTCCTAAAATAAGAAGGTTATTTTATTATTTGAGACTAATACTAACCAGACCTTATTAATAACGAAGGACAACTATTTTCAGTTTAACTATAAATTTTCAGTTAACACTAAAAACCTTATTAATGAAACAAAAAAGATTATACAAAAACATTTAAAGCAATTCAAGTAATTTAGTTAATAAATATCATTGTAGTCAAAAGTTTTTTTGCATATAGATTCTTTCGTAAAAATCGTGTGGGTATTTAGCTTGAGAACCCATCTTTGACTGGAAACTAAACTTTTGCTACACAAGTCAAATATCAAACAAAGCTAAGAACTTTTCCGTGGTTCTTGTTAACCAATCAAATTAATCTATCCAGGGGAATTTATGATCTGACATCCAAACACAAGATTTGTCGTACAAATTTCTACCTGATTCTTCTCCAGCCATGCCTGGTTGTTCTGAATAAAGAGGTGAATGGTGTGGCCCTTGCTCAAAAACGCCGACCTAATAATATAAAATCTACATTTTTGGCGTTACGGGTGAACCGATCGGGCCCAAATTGTGTGGGACCTCACGTGACCCCAGGAAAGGCTTTTGAATGATCAAAATTCTAAAAAAAAATTGTGTTCAAAAGTTTTGTATTTTCGTAGAAATTTGAAAATGCGCGAAAGATTATTATGAAATCCGCAAACTGTTTTTTTTTTTTTTTACTGTACAAAGAGAAGATGCTCACAGAAAAAGCCAAAATTAAAAGTTGAAATAGAAGATGGGGGCATTTGTATCCGTCAAAAAGGCTGGAAAAATCGTACCAAAAGTTTCTCTGGCCCCAGGGAAAAAATAAGGATGCTCAATTTAACAAAGAGTTGTATCAAAAAGCAATAAAATTTCTGAAACTGAAAATCCCTAAATTTATTTGTTGTTTTATACTGTACTGTACAAATGTAAGATGCTCACAGATTGATAAAGCCACAATTTAAAGTAAAAATAGAAGATGGGCGCGAAGCGTCTTAAGTCTAAATGCGTTAAAAACATTGTCTTTGGTGACATCTGTCAATCCCTATTCCCTTCCTTCAACTATAAAATCATTTTCATCCTCTAATATATCAATAACCAGGATAATGATTTGTATCAAAATTTGTTGCATTTTAATGTTTGTGCTATATAGCTTATACCAGAAAAATGTGGTTTAAATCTTACTGGATACTTTTATCATGATACCATTAATATTCCTAATATTCAACACTAAATAATTCACAATAAAGTATTCTAAATAAGACCTTTCATCTGATTAAGACTGAACAAGAAATCCTTGACCCCCCCCCCCCCCTAAAGATGACCACCCTTGCCCTACCTCAGGGTTGAGTACTCGACATCTCCTGGAATGGGCCCGATCATGAGCTGCTGACAACTAGACCAACGTGGATCAGGAGTAGGACATCCAGACTTGAACCAATATTTTCCTTTTCCATGCTTGTTGGTCAACGCTACAATGGAATCATCCTGAATAATGAATAAATTAAATTGTAAATATATTAACAAACAAGTTGTCTGTGGTATCAGACCAGTGTTTAGGATCCGGATCCGTCGGATTCAGAATTTTTTTTAGCTTCCTGGATCCAGATCAAAGGGGCAAAATATCAACTGTAATATATCAAAAGAGACTTTTAATCCGCATCAACATGAAATGGGTCCTAAGCACTGAAACAGACACATACCTAGCTGAACTTGGAAGATTTCTTTCTTCAACGTTTAATTATAAAACTTCCAATTATAACTTTAAGGCGACTAATATTTCGAGTAAAAAACTTCAAGCTTAAATTTTGCTTTGCAGATTTCCAACGAAAATTATAAAGCATACATAAGCTCACAAGCATGGTTGAATATTATACAATTTTGTACATATGACCACTTGTTTGAAAGCTAACTTATCATTATGTATATTTTATTATTTTATGGTTTGGTTAGGTTAAGACTATTACTGGGCCGAGCGCTGGGTCTAGGATCAGCTTGGGGGCCTCAGCGCCACGGCTAGGACAGGCTAGGGGGCTGGGCGCTGCGGCCACATGACCAATCAAACCCATATGATAAACATGATAACCATGTACAAAATTGATAAGAGGGGGGGGCCAAAAATCTTTCTCAAGGAAATTACCGCTAAATTATGATATTTATTTTAAATGACCACCAGTATTAATCTATATAGATTTGAGGACGCATAAAAATATAGAGTTCTTTAATTACCTATTTGCTTGATTTGCCAGATTTAGCAGAGGAATCCTCGGACTGTGTCCCAGAATATCATAATTCCGGGACTTGAAGGGGGACCCACGGTTCTTTATGGGACTGGTCCCGATAGTCAGATTCTTCAGGGGACTCAGTGGCATGGACTTCATTTTCCCGCCATAAGTGGAGGTGGGCGGTTCCAGTTGTGCTCGGTTGGTGAGAGGGCATCGGGAGAAGAGGGGAAGGCGGGGCTTAGGGCAGTTCTCTTCATCATCAGAAAGGAATATGTCGTCGTTTGTAACTTTGGGAAGATTGAAGGAGTTAAAAATGTCGTAATGTTTCGGACCCGGTGTTAATCGGTCAAGATTACCTGAAAGTATAAAATATCATAAGTTGCGGACAAAACCTACAAAAATATCTTAAATTTGGGCATCAATTGTTGAAAAACAGGCAGCTCATGCAGCATTACCGACTGAGAACATTTTTGTGTAAATAAATTTTAACAAGATGAATTTCAGCCAAGAATTTATTCTTACCTATACCACCTAAGCCAAGACCTGTTGACATATTAGAGAAGAAAAGTCCTCCATTTCCATAATCATAGTTGTTGTAACTCTCCATTTTGTATCTGTCTGAAATATTCACATTTCAATTTACTATCTTTCAAGTAATCTTTAGAAAATATTTGAGACACTTATACTGCAGATCCTCCGCGTATTAATCGTAACAAGCAACTATGCTGTTTTGACGCTAACATTTATTCAGTGTTGATTGTTTCCGTTGCACAGGCAGTGTTCGTTGTGAAGAATGAAGAAGAAAACTGAAAATTTTTGGCGCCAACATGAATGGGGTGTTCAGAAAGAATTTTTCTTCTCGAAATATACTTTTATTTAAAATATAACTAAATTTTGTTGAAAATGTATCTGAATTTTTTCAATAAATTCAAGTCTACACAAATAATTTTCACCCCGACATCTCTATGTCTCTTTCTATACAACTATCCATCCGCGTATTCCCGCGCAAAGTAAACAGCTGACGTTTGGAATTTACGCGGGAAACCCAAGGAAGTGTATACACTGTAACTCAGAACTCTGTATACTCTGTATACTGTATAGTGTCTAGTGGGTTCAGATGGCATGGGTCTGGGTTAAGCCGTATGCCTATTGTATCTACTGTCTACACGATAAATTGGCGGTTTCTTAAGCCAACCTGAAACCAAACAGAAGAACAGCGGTCGGTCCGTAATCCGCATAGATCTCGTCCGTCACTAATAATATTTCCCGCATTTTACGTTGTTCCTCCCCCACCTTAACCCCGCGTATCAACCACTTACTCTCAGTCTCATTAAAAAAGCCTATAGGACCTATTGACATATGGGGGTGGGTTTTGAAGGAATTTATCTAGGGCATCGATTCATTTATTAAAGGAATCCCATTGGCCGGGGAGGGGGGGCGGCAGGACCTTTGCCCCCCCTGACAGATTCAGGCTGGGGGAGTGTGGCGTAGCCCCCCTCTAATCATATTTCCGAATTTAGCTTCTCAATAGTGCACTTAAGGGAAAGTGCAAGTGCAAAACAGGAAAGTCACCGCGGCCCCCCTCATCCGCCCCTGTCCCCGGCCCATGAATGTAAAATATTCTCTTCCTTTACTTTATTATTCGTTCAGCCGTGATTTTCGCATTATTTTCGCGAAATTTTCGCACTATTTGTTTCGCATTCGTTCGAGGGCCTGCTGCAGGGACAACCTATAATAATTCCCCCTCCATTGAAGCATATCCTCTGTATAAAATGTGGCAGAGCAGGGGCGTACGTGGGATTTTGTCCAGGGACTGCAGTGCAGGGGCGTAATGCAGGTTTAGCCTAGGGGGGTGCACTTTTTTGTGCACCCCCCTAAAAAACCGGTATTAAGAAAAAAAGTTTAAAACTTATATTAATCTACCTGAGGTCTGGCTGTCAAAGAAAAGTAAAAAATCTGAATATTTAAGTTTACTGTTTAATAAATTAAAGCCTGTCTCTGACTCTATAGGGGGGCACAGGGGTACCGCCCCCCCCCCCCCACCACATACGGCCCTGGGACTGAGTATAGCTTCGATAAAGATTTATTTTTCTATACAGGGTCAACAATTGTTGGGGCCTGATCATTCTTGATGCCTTGTATGCAACCCTGCTAGTGATGGGGGGGGGGGGATTTTCCCCCGATGAAGAAGTTGACCCATCTCACCGAATGTTATAAATTAAGATCATGATATGATCGAGCACAATATATAATTTGACTCATTTAAAAAAGGGGCTCCGCAATTATCGAACCTTTAAGAGGAAACAAACCAATTAGTGTCTGCAACCTAACGTTTTTCTGACAAAACGTTTTTCCGACCTAAAAATCTGTAGGTTCGATAAGCGAAATGTTCCATGTCGATTATGAATATATTTGACGCGCGGTTATGAATATATTTAGGTCAGTTAAGCTGCAATTTTAGGTAGTTTGGAACATCAATTATAGGTCGTTAAAGCAACAATTTTAGCTTAGATAAACATAAAATTTAGGTCGGATGAGCAATATTTTTGGTGAATTGCACTATGATTGATCGCACATTCGTACTAACGTTCATTCGCGGACTTAACATTCATTTGCACTTAGTGTGAATGAACACTTAATTGTTCAATAAAACTAGCCGTGTGGAAGATTTTTATAAGCACGCGCAAGAAAATATCTTTTTAAATTCTAGCGGAATTTGGCACAAATAGTTAATTATAGCTCTATTTAAAATATAGTAGGAATGAGCTTAAAAATGTTTAATTGTGCTAAAGCTTAAAGTGTGAGTAAAAACAAAGTACAAATGAACATATTTTAGTGCAAATGAACAAAAAAAGTTCAATCAAACTAAAATCTAAAACTTCACCATTTTGTACATTTACCCTTTATTAGTACAAATTAAAATAGTTTAGCAAATGACAACAACATGTTCGAAATCGAACTAAAATTTCTCTAAATTTTTCATTTTTTAATTAGGTTTAATTAAACCTAATTAATACCATTGAACAAATTGTGCAGACGATCAAATAAATGTTCAATAGAACTAAAATTTGAATTTTACCATTTTGACCATAATATATAATTAGTGCAAATAAATTATTTTTGAACAAATGAACAAAAAAATGTTCAGTTGAACTAAAAACTAAAATTTTACCGTTTTGTACATATTTACCCTAATTAGTACAAATGAACATAGTACAAATGAACAAAAAATATGTTTATTCGAACTGAAATTTAAAATTTCATCATTTTGCCCATAAATTATAATTATTTAAGAGAAAACGTTAGTCCGTTTGAACATATTTTTTGTTGAAAATGTCAATTTCCACTATAGATGTTCAATTTTAATAATTTACAGAAAAAAATATTAGTCTGTTTGAACAATTTTTGTTGTTGGAAATGTTCGTTTGCACTATGCAATGTTTAATTGCACTGATATTTACAGAAAAAAAACATATTTTTCGGTTTGAACAAATTTTTTGTTGGATATATTCATTTGCACTAGCGTTCAATTGCACTATAATCAGGGGCTGATACAGGGGGGTCCAGGGAGGGGCGTAGCCCCCCCCCTGAATTTGGAATTTTTTGTTCCTATTTTCAGAATAGCTTCTCAATAGCATGCTTCAGGGAAAGAAACCCTAGTGCAAAACAGGAAAATATCTATCTTAATAAACTGTAAATGTGTGAAAAGTTAAAAATCTAGTTTTTTAGTCTTAAGTCATTAATTTTGACTCTTTTAAGTCAAAAAGAATTTTCGCCTGCGCCGCGATTTTTTGTTCCTATAAATTATGAATTTTTTTGTTCCCTAAAATTCTTGGCCCCCCCCCCCTCACTTAAATCTTGTATCCGCCCCTGACTATAATTAGTTACAGAAAAAAAATTTCATTTGAACAAATATTTTAAGTATTCCAGATCAATTTCACTAATGATCATTTGTACTAAATATTCCTGGCGGGAAAATAAAATTTTTAGTCCAATTGAACACAGTAAAGCTCGATTTGTGTTCATTTGCACTAATGTTCAATCATTATACAAACCTGTTTCTGATCTGCAGTGGACTAGTGCAAATGTACGCTAGAATTCAATTGGACATCAGTGCAAACGATATAGCATCATATTTTTAGGTCGGATGAGCAATATACTTAGGTCAGATGAGCAATATTTTTAGGTCGAATGAGCAATATTTTTAAGTCGGATGAGCAATATTTTTAGGTCGCATGAGTAATATTTTTAGGTTGGATGAACAATAGTTTTAGGTCTGTTGAACAATATTTTTAGGTCAGATGAGCAATTAATTTTAGGTCAGTTGAGAAATATTTTTAGGTTAGTAAGCAATAATTTTTGGTCGATTGAGCAATTTAGGTCGGATAAGTAATCAATTTAGCAATAATTTTAGGTAGGATGAGAAGTAGCTTTAGGTTTTATTTAAAATTTAAGGTGCCAGTAATAATTGGCATCAAGAAATAAAATTATTTGGTTTTTAAATCCACCAAAAACCTTTTATTTCAAACAATCTCTATTTGTTTTCTAAATTTCACGAATTCCCTGCCTTGTAAACAACTATTGCAATTTTATAGAAAGAAATTGATAGAAATTTTTTTTTTTACAAATCTATCTAATTACTACCACCCAAAGACTTTGCTAATTAAAGATAACGTATCAGAAAATCTACGCAAATTTGACGCATTTTCTGGGGTACTAAAGATCGTAACAAAGGTCGTCTTCTCCAGAAATGCTGTTGTTTCATAATGTCTTTTGTAATTGTAAGGAATTAAATCGTTATTTAAAAACAAACAAGGAAACAACTTTAGTTTTTCTATCTTGAAATATTTAATTTGTCCATAGTCCATAAAAGTGACTAGTGGAAAGACAATTAACATAATTTACAGAATTCATCACTTTTTAAGTTGAAATAACGACAATATCTTCCTCATTGTTACCCAGATAAATGTTTAAATGGTACCGTTGTTGATAGGACCTGTAATGGGTTGGTAACTTGAAATTAAATCTATCAGTCCTTTAGAACATTTACTTTTGGTTTGAAGTAAATTAAGTGTTTATAAAAAGAAAATTAATGTCACGTATCTTGTATGCATGTAACCTTGTACTTTTCAACAGTAATCAATTATTTCATTACTTTTTCATTCAAGATTGAATTCTCTCTCTACCTGATTTAAATGAATTATTGAAAAATATAACTTCATAATATTTATTTATCAATGTAATAGTTTTTACAAAATCGGGATATTTCTCTGTAAGGAATTCCTATGATCCAATTATAAAGAGCCTTCCTCCAAACTTTTTTCTTTTTTGGATCTGCTGGCATTGTAAACGCAGACTCTCCTATTCTTGGTTGGCTTGGCAGTTGGGTATCATAAATACTTAGCTTGGCAGTGGCACCGACGAACCTGAATTTATCAGAATTGTTCATTGAACTTGTATAAATAATACTCCGAAATCTGAAGACGAAATTTAGACAATCTCCATGTTCACTGCTCAATTGCAGTATTTTATGTTCATTGAACTATTTAAACAAAAATTGAGTAAAAAAGTCGTCTTTATATTTCCCAGTTTTATTTTCACCAATGTATTTCTTTAATCAAACTTTTTAAAATCCTCCAATAATTCATGCCTCAAAACAAAACTATTGTAATCAACCTTAAAAGACTTCTAAGTAAAAGGTCGTCCATTAATTCGCATTTTTAACGAAACTTTCTGTGATTCTTTTTCTTTAATGGTTGATATTTCTGAAACAAAATCCTCATAAGTTAATTTAAGAGTAAGATTAATACATTAATTTATACGATATCATTTCTTTGCCTAAGATTAAACAGAAGACGACATTTACAAAAAATTTATTTACCGTTTATAATATTTGAAATTTCTGGTCCCCTCTCTTCTTCATCGCCTAAAATTCTTTTCCATAGAACATCAGGAACAATATTTGACGACATCTGAAAATTTTCACTAACAATTATTGGCTATTTTTAATACAAAAGAGATGCGTAACTTTATCACAAATTCAGCTATAATTCACCAGACGATCCGCATATCCAACAAATGATTAAATAAATTTTAAAATACAAATAAATATCGTTAATTTTAGCTATTTTTTAGCACAAACATTCACAATTGAGTTAAATAACTAAGGTTTTAATGTCGATCGCTAGACTCTCAAACAACTAAAATAACCAATGACGTCAAAATAGTAAATACAGCTGTACAGGCGTACACAATAGTCGGATAAATTTCCAACGCCTCGTCTTTATAATTAGCAAAGTCTTTGCTACCACCAATTCACTAAACACATAGTTTTGTGAAATATACTTGAAGTAAAAAAGCTAAATCAATTGAATGATATATATTTGAAATGTTTATTTTAATTAATTCTACTTTAATGAAGAGATATACTTTGAATTTTGGCAGGTTAAGCCATAAAAGGTAAATAACTAATATACAGGGTGTCCCACATCAAATAAGACCGCGTCACTGAGTCTAAATTACGATTTGGGGGACAAATCAGAAAATTTAAGAAGAATGAATCATTTTGAAAAATTTAATAAGGCTAATAGATTTTTTTTTTTGCAGAAAATGCTAGATTTTTCGAGTATCATGTGCGTATTTTGGCGCTAAAGATTGGAGATAATCTAATATGATATGGGACGCTCTGTATATACAGCAAGCAGAGATCAAAACGCGGGGCTTGGAGATAAAGCAAGAGGCATGGAGACGGTTTTTCAGGGCTTGAAGGTCATTCTGCGTATCAGGAGGCTCTGGAGGTCATTTCGTGGGGCTCATGGCGGCTCAACATCCACTCCCTCATCAGACCTAAGCTATGAAATGCTGTACTTTTAGTGTGGATGCACACTTTTTGTCTGATACATGACTACAGTCAATGAAGTAGCAGAACAATGTCGTCTTCGCAGTTCTACTATATTGTTTGTTAAATCACAAAGCTTGTTTGAAATCTGCTTACTTTTCATTTTTTTCTGTATTAAATTTTTTATATAACCTTGAAATATTCTCTTTGTATCTTCTTTATCCTCCTCATTAAATTCTCAATAATCACCAAAAATCTCATTGAATTCTTACATTCAACACTTATGTGATGCTTCTACTTTTTCCTTCTCATTAATAGGTCCTGCTTGGGGGGGGGGGAGCAACCGCCCCCCGTAGTTTTTCCTGACATAAGTTAAAAAATATTGGTCTGAGACAGTTACAATTTTTAAACTTTTCCTAAATACAACCTAAGCCCTCAAGCACACTGCCTGAATGCGTACATTTTGCAAACGTGTTTTGCAAACAGTCCTTCAAAGGAAAACTCTTAAAGTATGTCGACTCCAAGTTGAAATTAATTATTTTGTCTAAAATATTGGGATTTAATGGCTTATATAATGATTTGACGAAGAAAGAAACAAGTTTACAGTTTACAATCATGAATATTAAAATTCAGATGCATAAAATCACTACAGCCGTCTCAATTAAGATTCATCATAACTGCATATTAGAAATTTAAAATAACTGGTAATCATTTAAATAATGTTTATTGGTTTAAAAAACGTGTAAGTTTATTAAACTTGGTTCTCGCATTTTTTTAGCTACTTTTTGATTTTTTGTTTAACAAAAGTGTCTTAAACGGACAGTTAAATAACAAATGTATATTTTCCGAACAAGGTTATATTTATGATCATGGCTAAATAATAGAAAGGATAATTTAAGATGGAATAGATGTTTGTTTGTTATTTAAAATAAAGCTCGAATTACGAATAGTTTATTATGAATTTTAATCAAATTTTATTCTTTCAGAAAAATATGATATATATATATTCTTTCAGAATAATAAAATATATTCTTTCAGATATATATATGATATAAAAAATATATAAAATACATTACACTTCTTTTTTATTGAGCAATTAACAATACACAAAAGTACACTCCTAGACTGTATAAAGCACAAATGCCGTGATTCTTTTGTACTGTATACCTACAGTACACGCCTTCGATTCCTTATTACTTACACAAACTTGTGTGGTACATACACACACACACATTACGTTTTCGCCCCCTGAGGCCGTTCCTTCCATAAACTAAATTGGTCGACAACTTGACATCTCCTACATTAGTCGTCAAGTGTACGGAGAAATTATCTATCTGTCAGATAAGTATTTAGCATTAGACATCTAGCAGCCAACATATCGTCCCCCAAAGTACATATGAACTACACGACCACTATCTATAGTGAGAACGGACTCTGGGTTTACATCTTTATAATAAAAAGCGATCTTTGCTTCGAAATTTTTTCAAAAAATCGGATTTTTTAAAATTGGTTTTTAAAAATATCCACGCGGCACATTATCTGAGACAGAAAATGAAGAAAAGGAAATATGAAAAAAGGAAAAAGAATGAAAGAAAAAAGGAAAAAAGGGAGAAAATTGGCATAAAATCTTATTTTCAAACTTTTAAACAATACAAAAAATACAATTTTAAGTAAAGAAAAAACCTAAAAAATACGTAAAATAAAAACATAAAAACTTGAAAAATTTCTTGGTATGAAATTTACGAAAACATACGTATTTTTAGGTTTGCATCAAACTTTTAATCTCTAAAAAAATACAATTTTTTAAGCAAAGAAAAAACCTAAAAAATGCGGAAAAATACGTAAAATAAAAACTTTAAAACTTTGAAACATTTCTTGGTATGAAATTTATGAAAACATACGTATTTTTAGGTTTGCATCAAACTTTTAAACTCTACAAAAAATACAATTTTTTACGTAATGAAAAAACCTTGGTATGATAAATACGTAAAAATACATAAATATACATAATTTCTTTACCCAAAAGTTGAGCATACGTATTTATACGTAAAAATACCTATTAATACGTATAATTTTCAGGGTTTAACTTCCTGAATTTTTGTGGAATAAAATATTAATAAGGAACAAAAAACTTGTCTTTTAATGTCAAATCTTTTAATGTTTCCCCCAAATGATATCAAATCATTTCATAAATGAGGCCCTATACGACCCCCCCCCCCTATAGATGGGGTACGCGGTCACACTTGCGTCAGTGCCCCCCCCCCCCGCGTATTAACCATAATCCTGTAGTTTTTTTTTGCATAACTCAAAAAGTATTGGTCTGAGGCTGTTGAAATTTTGTTTTTTTACACACAGATGCAAAGAAAAATCTTAACCAGAAGAATTTTGCGAAAAATGTTTTGCCCTGGTTTAAAATGTAGATATATGCATATTGCATGTGAAACTATATAATTTTAACTCCGACTGCGGGCAAATCTCTTAATATTATGATCAAAATGTATTATTTTTTTAGATTTGGATTTAAATTCCATGAAAATTCGCAATATTTAAAGATTTCTTTTCATATTTTCACGCGATACTGCGGTTTAATGTTTATGTTTGAATAGCTCCAAGCCTTCCCACTTCCTCTCTATACAGAGGGCTTTTTAGTTAAACGTGATTAAAGAAACTTTAGCAGTAATTGTTTATTCATAAGCTAATTCTTTTAAACTCATTCAATTAATTTTAAGAACTCCATGTCTTAAATTTCATATCAATAAATAAATTTTCATTTCAAAATGAAATTTAATTGACCTTTACACCTTTCACTAAGGAAGGATAACGGAAAATAAATATTTACATTTGAATATTTTAAAGCCTAGTTGTACAAAGAATATTCTGGGGTTTTAAGGAATGCATGTAACGCTAGCTGTTTTTAGTTCACACTGTACAGTGTAAACCAGCATACACAAGCATCATTTAAAGGAAGTGACCCTGGAGTGACTAGCAATGTATAGGTGGTTGAACTGAGCATGCAGAATTTAAAATTTTTTTGTTAGGATTCATTTGAGACATATAAAACGCTTCCACGATGTATAACTTCATATTTTGTTTCTGTTCTCAGATTTCTACAAATTCTTGAAATGTCGTCTTTTCAATAAAAATTCCGGAAAATCTGCAGAAAATCTTTGTGAATGATAATGATAAAGATAATAGAAACTAATAATTGAATAACATCACTTATTTTCGATGATAAGAGTTAATTTTTATTTTCACAACCTGTTCATAAACAACTTATTTGTTTACTGTAGAATTTTAGTTACATTTTTTTGTCGTCGATATTTAATAATTTTAAAAAACCGATTCTGAAAACGCACCCACCCATAATGCATGATTTTGAACGTCGACGTTTCCCTCAAACTCAGTAAATATACGTCGAAGCAAGGTTTTATATGTCTCAAATGAATCCTAAAAAAAGTTTCCAGTTTCCACAATACTAAATATTCAGTTCAACAATCCATACACTGCCGGTCACTCCCTTTAAGAGATAAACACACAGATTTCTCTGTCATCGTTGATCAGTCAATAGTTGAAATGGTACCGATGTAAATCTGACATTTTCTTTCTGCATGGAGAGTCACTACAGAAATTACAGTTACAGCAACTTTAATTTCAAAGATTGCATCGTCCTTTTCATTTGTGGAGGGTTTTCAAGTTCGTCTTTTAACCTTTTTTATACTTCGTATTTTTAGTCTAACCCTACCCTTTCCATAATGTTTGTTGAAGTATTGCAGACTATTATTTAAAATCTTTTTATAAAGTTTGCTGAAAAATTGACGATTTGTGTTTGTATTACAATTGAAGTTATGTTTCCTCTGTCGTGTTTGTGAAAGGATATTGTGTTCGTCCTCTTTGCTGAGGTTTGAGGAAGGTTTTGAGAGATGTGTTCTCATCCTTTTCTTTGATAAATGTGAAAGGATTGCGGGTTTGTATTTTGGGCGTGTGGTTTGGAGTGAATATAGATTGATGACCGAAATTGTTGAACAAACATGAAAGCTATAATTTTACACCTAAATTCTACCCCTGGGCAGGATTTCGTGGAGTTTCAAGATAATTCAGGCAGTTAGAGAGAAAAACAGGCAGTAAGAGAGAAATACAGACAGTTAGAAAAGAATACAGGCAGTAAGAGAGAAACACAGGCATTTAGAGAGGAATACAGGCAGTTAGAGAGGAATACAGGCAGTTAGAGAGGAATACAGACAGTTAGAGAAGAATACAGGCAGTTAGAGAGGATTACAGGCAGTAAGAGAGGAATATAGACAGTTAGAAAGGATACAGGCAGTTAGAGAGGATTACAGGTAGTTAGAGAGGAAAACGAGCAGTTAGAGAGGATTACAGGCAAGTTTAGAGGAATACAGGCAGTTAGAGAGGATTGTAGGGAGTTAGAGAGGATTCCAGGGAGTTAGTAAGGATTACAGGCAGTTAGAGAGGAATACAGGCAGTAAGAGAGGAATACAGGCAGCAAGAGAGGAATACAGGCAGTAAGAGAGGAATACAGTCAGTAAGAGAGGAATACAGGCAGTAAGAGAGGAATACAGGCAGTTAGAGAGGATTACAGGTAGTTAGAGAGGAATACAGGCAGTAAGATAGGAATGCCGGCAGTAAGAGAGGAATACAGGCAGTAAGAGAGGAATACTGGCAGTAAGAGAGGAATACAGCCAGTAAGAGAGGAGTACAGGCAGTAAGAGAGGAACACAGGCAGTTAGAGAGGATTACAGGCAGTAAGATAAGAATACAGGCAGTAAGATAGGAATACAGGCAGTAAGAGAGGATTACAGGCAGTTAGAGAGGAATACAGACAGGTTTAGAGAAATACAGACAGTATGAGAGGAATAAAGGCAGTTAGAGAGGAATACAGGCAGTTAGAGAGGAATACAGGAAATTAGAGAGGAATACAGGCAGTCAGAGAGGAATACAGGCAGTAAGAGAGGAATACAGACAGTTAGAGAGGAATACAGGCAGTCAGAGAGGAATACAGGCAATGAGAGAGGAATACAGACAGTTTGAGAGAAATACAGACAGTTTTAGTGGAATACAGGCAGTTAGAGAGGAATACAGGCAGTTAGAGAGGAATACAGGCAGTTTTAGAGGAAAACAGGCAAGCATACAAACAGATAAGTAGGTGGATAGATGGATAATAGATCAATAGATATGAAAGATAGATAGTAAAGAGATATTGATCTACTGATACACCCTTTTCAATCACAATACTTATTAGAGCAGGAGATGGATTGGAGTAGAAGATGGATTAGAGTAGGTGATTAGGTGGATGGATGGAGGATGGATGAAATACAAACTCAAAGTAGAGAAGTTTTCTGAAGAAAGGGGGGGGGGAGCCAGGTGGCTTCAGAAAACGTAATGGTGATATCATTTAGCGTAGTGTTTAGCGTATGTGTTTATTTAATGGTATTTGCAAAAGTAAAAACTTTAAAAACTACTTAAACTCTTTTCACACCAATATCTAAAGGTTCAATTTGATATTCACTTGAAGAAAGGGCAATAACTGGAGAAGGGGAAACTGGCGGTTACACCCCCCCCCCCTCTTTTAAGATCAAAATCAAGGTGAATTTAGAGTTTTTTTCACCATCAAAACTCTCAGTTGCGGGCCTGCTTGTAAATAGTGTTTACTAGATGGTATGGTAAGAAAAATTGATAAAACGGGTATTTGCTTTGGTCTTAGATTTTACACTTATTCAATTTTGCATGGAAATTGTGCAGTGTGAACTGAACTATATAAGAAATATATTTCTATCCAAAATATTGAAATAAAATATGTTAACGAGAAAACATCTCCGTAAATGCAGAGCATGGGCGGAATTTTTAAGAACTGTAAAACTATGAAGTAACTCCCTTTGGAGAAAACCACTTAATTCTGTGTGTATTAAAGGGAGTGACCGAACCACTTTTTTCTGTGTGTTAAAGAGATTGACTATTTACTTTTCTGCGTATTAAAGGGAGTGACCGGACGCCTTACTTTTCTGCGTATTAAAGGGAGTGACCGGACGGCTTATTTTTCTGTGTATTAAAGAGATTGACCGGACGACTTACTTTTCTGCGTATTAAAGGGAGTGACCGGACGACTTACTTTTGTGTGCATTAAGGGGAGTGACCGAACCACTTTTTTGTGTGTATTAAAGGGAGTGATTGAAAGTTTAATGGACTTATTAAAAAGAATTGTGTATTGTAAAATTTTTGAGAATAAGCTAAAACTTTATTCATCCCATTAACATGTCATCAAAGGTTTGTGCAGAAAATAGAATGGGGGTAAAAAAGTTTTAATTTAATTTAATATTTTATTTTTGACAACGACTAAAAGTACTATTTTAACACATAATTATGATATCATACATTTCTTGGCCTATATTAAAATATCATTGATAACAATCAAAACAACATGACTGTTTAAAGGGGCTGTAAACGTAATTTCAAGTGGCCCTCATTTAATAATGGTATATATGTACAATTCACAACGATACCCTTTAAACCTGTATTTGAAAAGTACTTAATTTTTCTTTACATCAGTTGCATTAATTTAATCCGTCATTTTTTAAACTGAAAATGATCAATTTTGATCAAACAAAGGTTTTAATGGTACCATTGTAAATAGGACATAGCTCTCTATAAATGCGGGATCATTTGAAATTAAATCAATTGGCAAAATTTATCAACTAAAACTTGAATTGTGGTAACTATACAGCGTCACAGTTTGATTTTACAGCTTCTACATACATAAACATACACAATACAAAGGAACTAATTAGAAATTTTACGCCGAAACTAATTAGATAGATTTTGCATAGATAAAAATGTAAGTGAATGAGTTTATTGTGACCTTTTTGCGACAGGTTTTTTTCTATTTCAGAGAGTGTTGAAAAAAACCTTAAAACATTAAAATATTACTTGTGAAAAGTTTAAATAAAGAAGTGGAGTTACTTTTCTAATTCAACTTTCAAATACATGATAGTTGAGAGACAATCGCAAGGACATCTTTGATTTTAAAAAACCTAATCTTATTACATATATGATTATTGAAAGAAAAATCATGAAATAAACCTGGCATTTCCAACATGTGCTCTGCCTTTATTTTGCTATCACACCTTTCAGATCATAATCTTAAAGATGCATAGTAGGCATACAACATATTAGAAAGATTATAAGTTATACAATTTTTTGTAGCAAAAGTCGAAGACGATCTTTTAGTTGTCTCTCAACTACCATGTTTAGTAGGTCACCCAGTTGGTTACTAAATAAATAACATTGTAATGGTTAAAGATCTGTACATAATGAAATCTGTACATGCAGTCTAATTTTACGTACACGCCTCGCTCTTTGGCTGGGAAAATCTATGTACATTTAATGTTGTATCTGTGTACAACGTTCATGCTAATAATGCAATTGTATACTTTATTTTCAATTTTGAATATTTAGCTTCAAGACTTAGGGAAAATTCAAATATAAACACTAAACTTGAATCTGTAAAATCACTTTTTAACTAAGTTTCTAAGTCCAAATTGTTAGCAATTGATAGATTCACTCTTGTGTTTTTATGGTGTTGAACAACGTTTTGTTTTAATTTCACAATGTTTTGAAATTTTATAAGAATAGTCTCACTTTGGTGAATTTTTGGTTTACAATTGTTCTAAGAAATGGTGAATTTTAGCACTATACCCAGTAGCACTCCAAAAGTGATTATTCCTGAAATAAAGAAAAAATTAAAAACAAACAACTGGGAAAATGTAAATAAACAAATCCAAATTACCTAATATTATCCATAGAACAACAAAATGTCCAGTGCAGCAAGCAAATCCAACTTGCTTTTCCAGGTCTTTCCCGGGCAACGGTGAGATCTTTTTAGGGTGTTCGCGCGTAGGTAAATGGGATGCCGCGCCAGTTTCTGAGCGGACTACTCTACCGGTGCGCATGTTTTGCGGCATTATCATGTTCGGCCCTAGACTCATCATACTAGCGTGGAAAGATTTTCTTTCGTCCATTTCATGTCCTGAATAAAATTTTTTATCTTAATTGAAAAAATAGAACAGAAAATATCATAATGATTCAGTCATTGTCATTTTTTATGCAGAGATAATACAGCTATCAAGACAAGAAAAATAATCCATGTTGAACGTGAAAAGTTTTGTTGAGAACAATCTTTGATTATGCACATTTCTTACATTTAAACGATAAAAAAGAAATCTAATATATACTGTTTATGAATAAAGCTTTTTTTCTAAATTACATAACTTCAGTGAAAGATTAGTTCTTTTTAAATTTTAAATTTAAATTCTAAATCTTTAATTAATTGTTGGTAAAATAACAGTATTTTTTTCATTTACCTGAAACATAAAAAATCCCTTTAAAGGGGCTCATATTGTTATTTTAAGTGACCCTCCATTTAAATTTAATTAATTATTAATGTGGAAGATTTTTCTAGCTTGAATAGATTTTAATTTTGGTTATTTTTTCATTGTTTCTGAAGCAAAATATGCGCAACTCGTCACTTTTCCCATTAACAATGGATTAGTAATTTATACTTGATTAGACAAAGCTTTAAGAGGTACCGGATCGTAATTTGGAAATAATAATGGAGGGTCACATGAAATTGTGTTTACAGTCCCTTTAATAATCTATATAATAAAACAAGACATTCATATATATTTTGCGTATAGCTGGCCAAACGGCTGGACCAATTAGGCTGATTTTTTTTGTGGACACTCATGGGTGACCATTTTATAGGCTAAAAAAACCGCTTTTTAAAAAAAAATTTTCCCCCACGGGCAACGCCGGGCCCTTCAGCTAGTAACAAGTATTACCTTGTGGATGCTGTTGATTGTAACGACCCCCTAGAGATATTTCTGCAACACTTCGTGCACGTCTCACTGTTGTTGCCCCTAACGTGAAAAAGTGATTACAATTGATTTTAAAAAATTGAAATTGAACAATTTTCGAAGAAGTCAACATTGATCAATTAAATCAATTTTAATAGATAAAATTGAAATTGATTGAAATTAACCTTGCTATTGATAACATTTTTTAGAATTTTTTTATTTTACGCTTATTTTGAACAAAAATAATGATTTAAACCTTTTTAAAGAATTTTAAGGTCCAATATGACGAACCTTGTAAACTAAANATGTGAGGAACCTACAGGGTGTCCCACATCATATTAGACCGAGAACGGGTCTAAATTACGATTTTCGGGACTAATCAGAAAATCTAATTAGAATTTATCATTTTGAAAAATAATATAAGGCTTATATAAGAATTTTCTTGCGGAAAATGATAAGTTTTTCGAGTATTAAAGATTTATTTTGTCGTTAAAGATTGAAGATAATCTAATATGATATGGGACGCTCTGTAGTAAACTAATGGTCCCATGTGAGGATCCTAGTAAACTAAAGGTCCTATGTCTAAAAGTTCAGTGAGTTGTAACTTTAGAACTCATTTTCACACATTATATTTAATTTGTTCGTATCTGCTATTTTCCACTTTTTTGTGGGGCAGCTATGTTCTAGAAATCTTAGTATTATGGGTCTTTTACGCTGTTTATGAATGAGAGATTAAAGTATGGCTAAAAATATTCCGATACAGAAAAAATGCACTGTAATGTATCGTTAGTTTTACCTGATATAACGGAGGCTGGAACTGAGGCTGGCCCAAAACCCATCGGATGACCGTAACCCATATTTGGACCTCCCATTCCTGTAAACGCAACATTTTAGATATTGATATTGAAAATTGTTTATACAATTCAAAATGGAGTTAGCAGAGTCACAGATAATTTAAATTGGTCATTTTTTCTTTTGGTCTTCTGTGTTTCTTTTTGAATAAAATTGATTTTAAATTTCTGACGAACATAAACTAAAAAAAATCCATTAAAAATAATTAATATTTTTTGACATTTGTTAGTTAAATTGTTGGTGAATGAAAAATAAATGTGTAAGACTGGACATCTATTTACCAATCTGAAACTCATCTAATGATAACTATTGTGAAATCTATTCAATCTTCTATTGAACAGATCTTCAAATATCTAGAGGGGGGAGGCGGGGGGTCTTTTCTTCTGTCAAGATTTGAATAAATTTGTCAGATTGGAGAGAGGCAGAATAATAGAAATCTGTGTTTGAAGGAGGAGAATAGGCACCACAGGGGCCTATTCTAGGACCCTCTTTATTTCATGTTTTCCAGAAACTGACTAAAACCAGACTAATTCTCATCATCCAATTCCTCATTTTGATGTTTACATATTTTAGAGAAAATTCAGGTAGACTGGTACAAAGGGAGCGGTCACAAAATTTAAAAGAGGGTGTGAAAAGGGTATTTTTAATTTCAAACATCAATTTCTAATAAAGAAGTAAGAAAAAGTTCTTTTTAAGAGTGAGGGATCCTGGAAGGGGTGG